TCATAATCTGTTAAATTACAGCTCCTGCCCACACTTTAGGGGCAGAGATTATATAAGGGGAAGGCTCACTGCACATCATCTTTAGTTACTTGTACTTTCTTAGTTAAGTAGGAAGATCACACAAGTTGTCTAGACAGAGGAGAAAGAAGTGGAGGTTTGAGAAAATGGGAAAATGAATGAAATATATCTAATAAGGAGTGTACCTTTTCATGCTTAAACAATCTCAAGATTTGTAGGGCTTCAGCCCTGGCCCATGTGGCTCAGTTGGTTGGAGTGTCGTCCCATAAATGGAAAGATTATGGGTTCAATTCCTGGTCAAAGCACACGCCTAGGCTCTAAGTTCAGTCCCCTGTTGGAGCACATGCAGAAGGCAACTGATTGATGTTTCTCTCTCATATCAGTGTTTCTCCCTCTCTCTCCTTCTTTTCCCCTTTCTTTGAAATCAATAAGTATGTCCTCAATAGAGGACAAAAATAAAATAAAAAAAAATTGTAGGGCTCCTCCAGCGTGTGATTTCCTAGGATAATTGCATATCTAGCCCAATCCTCATATTTAAATCTACTACTAAATATTATGAAAGGTATTTGTGGGAGTTGGTCATAAATAGTTAGAAAAAATTGATTCTACTGCCTTTAAGATTTATTGATCTATAAGGAATTATGAATGGAGAAATGAGATTAATATTCAGCACATGGTTTTCTAAATCTTAATATTGTTTGAAAAGCATGTCAATATTGAGCTTTTAAAAATTTCTCATGCATGTTCTATTTTAATAGCAGTATTAAATTTAGCAAAATATTTAATGGGAAGAGCAAAGAGATTATGCAAATAGCTCTGAGGCTACGACTATCTCAAACATTATACTTGTTAGAGTAAATGACTGATTAAAAATCTGTTTAACTGGGGTAATTCTAGAATTTTTGCCACTAATAGGTTAAATCAACACCAACAGCCTTACTTTTAGGTAGCGATGAAGTTTGGTTTTTGTTTGCTATACAGCGTTTGCTCAAACTGACTTTGTGTGAAAGGCTCATTGGCCATAAAACAATTTATGAAATGGAACTACAATTTTAATGTTTTGTTAATAAATATAAAAGGAAATTATATATATATATATTCCTGAATTATTTGGCTACAACCATAATATCATGGACCACATCTACAATCTTCTTGTAAGTAGCCCAGGAGTAATGCAATAACATTAACATTTATGAACAGGAGCCTCTGTAACACATTCTTTTGTGTATGCGGTTCTTCGTATGACCCTCTGGTCAATTCAACAAGCATTTAATTCACACCTACTCTGTGCTAGGCACTGGGGACGTACAGGTGGAAAAGACACAGTCACTAATTGGCTTCTGAGATACAAGAAATTCTACATTTCATTATTTAGTGTTGGGTCCATGACAGTGTTTTTAAAAACCTGCTTATCTATTTTTCCCTGTGTATATTTAATGTTCCTTAAAAAGTAAAACCAAAGATCTGTCCTACCCTGAAGGTGCTTATAGCAGAAAAAAGACACTGCTATATGTCCTACCCTGATGCATAAAAGCTTATCTCAACAAGGAATGGCAAGTGCTAGAAGTGTTCTCAGCGTGCCTAATCAGCAGGAGTGTGGGGGAAGGGCTGGGTGTGGGGAAATACTTCTAGATAAGCTGACCCTGTAATAAAATGATAGTTTGTTCAGGTCTAAGTCTACAACTTCCTTACGTATAGTTTCTCTAACTGCAAAAGAAATAAAGGCTATATCAGAATATTGATGAATTTTTAGCATAAAAAACATACAATACTTACTAAAGTGTTTGATACAGATTACTTATTAGAAATCGTTTCTTACTTTGCTTTTTGGTCCTACTCTCCTCCTTCTTTCAGTGGGAGTAAATGAAATGAGGAATAATGCAAGATCTCTCTCTCTCTCTCTCTCACACACACACACACACACACACCCACACACACACACACGATCTTCATGTGTTGTAGGTTGTGTTTGGTGATCCCTCTGAAATATTGTAAAATAAATTTTAATTAAAAAAAGATGAGACTATCAATGTAGGCATAGGACCATAATGAGATATATGCCTTATGAAGACATTTGTGCTTTATTTTGTAGGTAATTGGGAGAACGAAGTTGACTCTGATTGTAGAGATTGATTTAAAATAGTTAATATTCTAGATATGTAAACTAGTTGAGAAAATAAGTCAAGTGAAAAATGTTAATATCTTGGATACAGACAGATAGTACAGGTAGAGTAGATGTGGTAACTAGGGGAGAGAGGAACCAGTACTTGATGTTTGATGGGATTTAGGGCCTGAAGGTGTGATAAGAACCCCAGGTTTCTGGTGGTGCTGCTGAAATGATAATGCCAGGAACTGAGACAGGGAAGAAAATGCCAGGAACTGAGACAGGGAAGAGACGAAGGAAGATGAGCTGTCCTACCAATGAACGTGGAATTGTTGGTTATATTGTAAAGACAGGCTTAAATGTGTAAGACATTGCCAAGTGGTTTTCGAAAGGTGAAATACTTTACCACCAGAAGAGTTTTAGCAATGTTAGCCTTTTTAATTTTAGCCATTTGTATGAATGAATTGTGCTTTGGCGTGATACTGGAATCATAAGACAGAAATATCTATTTTAGAACCTCAGGGAATTTGTTTTTGATGCATTAGAGGCAAGGTGCTGATAAAGATATCATTCATAAAATTGTTGTGTCCTCTAAGAGAATCCTCTAAAGGAATTTTAACACCAAGGCAGCTACATTTTTTCTTGAGAAATTTATTTGTATCTTGTACTATGGACATTAAACAATATATAGGTGATTAGATGTCATTTATATGTCATTTACCCGAAAGTTAAGGGTTAAACTTGTGACTGCCAGTAGGGTAGTTTATTTAACCCTAATACTCAGTTTGCGTTTAATGCTGGGCTCAGTAACTGTACTCCTATCCATGCTCTACTTTTCCCTGAGAGTATATTATCACCTTCTATATTCTAATAAACCACTAATATCCTTTTTGAAACAAAGTGGATAAAAAAGGTAGGCAAGTTGAAGAAAGATAGCAAGGTTCAATGTCAGGCAGGCAGCAAAAGGACTGCAAGTATCAATACACTGCAGTAAAGAGAGTTATAATTAAACCCAGTTTCTTACAGGTTTTCGTTTTGTTTTGTTTTGTTTTCTTGCCTACTTGCCAGGCTTCAAAAATGGACTCAAATCTTATAAGCAACAGGAGCATCCCAGGTCCCTGTCAGTGAATATAAGTTAATTCAAAGCAGTATTTAAAGACCAAATTGGGAGAAATAATAGAGAAGACTGTCCAACGGGTATGAACCCAACTCACTTATTCAGGTGCTTTAATTTCAGATCTTGCATCAGATAAGACCTGAGAAAAATCATCACAGAATCAGAATTCTCATCAATTCCCTTTCACTGACTTGTCTTTTATTGTAATATACTTGGAATTTATCTGAAAATCGTCACAATGACTAGTCACACAAAACCCTCAAGTATTGTAAAATGTTGAGAATATTTTTATTAGTTTTACATTCTTTGTATGAGAGGTCACAGATTAGTGACCCATGACATAAGTCGCATCAGCAGATGTTTTTTAAAACTTTACGTTATTTGCCAGCATGTTATGATTAGAAAAACTTACGTACATGCACAGGCATAAATGCATCCTCCTGTCAGCCGCAAAGGCAACGCAGACAGGAGCAGAGAAGCAGCTACTCCTCTTGGGTGCGAGTTGTCCATTGTCTCTAGGACTTTCTCTAGTCTTGAACCTGATGCCGTTGTTTACATTACCTGATAGGTTCCTGTAAGTTTTGCATTTGACGCTAGATATACTGTCTATTTGAGAAATTTATTTTAAGATATATCAACAAAATAAAGTGTGCCTCATATAGAAAAAAAGGTGCTTCTTTTTCTAGCAATAACAATATACAGTCCTATCTTGGTACTTATCAGCTTCAAAAAGCATCAAACCTTGAACTTGCTGCATTTTTTTAAAAAGATTTTGTTTATCTTTAGAGGGGAAGGGAAGGAGAGAGGGAGAGAAATATTAATGTATGGTTGTTTCTTGTGCACCCCCTGCTGGGAACTGGCCCCTGCTGGGAGCTGGCCTGCAACCCAGGCATGTGCCCTGACTGGGAATCGAACAGCGATTGTCTGGTTTGCAGGCCCGCGCTCAATCCACTGAGCTACACACCAGCCAGGGCTGATTTTGACAAGAAAAAAAAAGCTGCTGCATTTTGACAAGAAAAAAAAAGTTCCAGGACTCGGTGCTTTCTTGGGACTCACAGCATTTGCTAGACTTGTATGAGTCACGTGCCACCCCACAAGAGAAAATGCATCATCATTCCATACTTGTCAGTTTTGGCACTTGTCTTGAGTTCCAGAATGGATCAGTAACAAGTACTGAGGAACCACTGTAACATTAACTACTCAGAGGCTCAATACCAAGTGTGCAGTCAATCATATGTACTAGTACTGTATATGCGATTTTTAATTCCATCATTCATTATTTATGTATCAATTTTGTAATTATTTTTGTGGAAAAGTATTTCAAGTCCTTTCTGAAATTAGTCAGGGTATACATATTCTAATAAGAGCAAACATTACCTGACTCCATTTAAGAATGACTCAAACTAAGAAATGAAATGAGGAAATAACATATATTATCAAAACATTTTATTTGGGGATTAAATGAAGTCTAACTACAAATACACAATCCTCATATGAAGAAAAATAGAATTGGTGCTCAACTCCTGTTCACATCATTGCCATTAAATATTTTTCTTACAAAATGCCTAAAAAGTGAAAAGCATAATTTTCAAGAACTCACTTTAACTAAATAAATATAGTAACACAGTAAATTATCAAGAAGACAGTAATCAGATTTGCAGTTGACTTTTTACATGGAGTCAGGGATTAGACTGTTCCATTTTAATGGTCTGCAACATGGCTAATATAAGTCTGGGTAATTAAAAACCAAAATACAGAACAGCAGTTTTCAATGAGTATTTATTTAGCATGTGAAAACAAGGCAGGGTGGCAAGCTACTCCTAGGTGGCTGTGTCCAAACATAAATTCTAAGGTTTATTACATGCTTTACAATTGAATATCTTCTATTTTTTTATTTTACATTTGATATTTTCAAGATCATGGTCAAAACCACATTACATTAGATACAGTTATCAAGTTAACATAATAATATAGTGGTTTGGTAATGGCTTTCATAGAACTGACTCAAAAATACATTTATGCATAGACAATTATAATTAATGTGTTTACTTAAATGTTATGAGTAGCTGAAGTTTATCACTTTGAGATGTTAAAAATAACCTTTGATCAGATTTCTGTCCTATTCTTTCAAAAAGTTAAAAACAAAACCACAATAGCATGATGATATAATCATATACCACAGGTTGGATTATATGTAGAATTATCTTACATGGTACATCATTGCTTTGTGCCATGAAATAGTTACTTCAATATAGTATCTTCTAAAATGCTTTTTATCTTTATGTTTACATTTATTGTTAATTTTGTATGTAAATTGAGAAACTTGAAGTTCAATATATGAGGCTTTTAAATGAAGTCTACAACATTCAGGAGAAAAAGTGCCATATGTTTTGAGTTTAGTAAGTTTTTAGATCTATGACTGACTAACTGCTTATTAAGTCTCAATTATTTTATCTTTTGATGCCATAATTTAAATAGTAATTGTATAATAACAGAAGCTAATCATATTGAGAATTGCTCCTCCCTTCACTGATAGCTGCAATAGAATGGCACAACTTTTTTTAATTTAAGAATAAATTAGTCTCAGTAATTAAGCGAAAGTAGTCCCAGAATTTTCAAATTTAATAACCTTATATTAAGCATACAATAATATTTAGCTTTTATGTGGTTATGTAACAAAGTCAGTATAAAATTTAATTTGAAGTACATCTTTAAAAACAGAAATATGAGCCAAAAAACTCTTTTGCTTATGGCTACATCAATTTTTTATTTTGAAGTTGTAAACATTTATAAAGATCACTGAAATCTGCTAGTCGTAAACAGAGTATATCGTTCTGTCCTGCAGGCCGTGAGAGTGCTGACCTTAATTCCAAGCTGAGACACAGGGTTTCGAGCACTGTTTCCGCCAGCACTATAGCGTTTAAGGGCAGTCACAGGATTTCAGTTGAGTAACTGAGTACTTCAAAAAAGCACAGCGTTATGAACTTAGGAAGTTTTTCAGGTGGCTTGTTACTTTTGCTGTTTTGGAGAATGATCGATTTCCTAGAGGATGTCACAGCTCATACAGGATTATGCCTGAAGGATAAAATAGCACGACGCCTCAGGACTTAAAAAAGGAAAGGCTTGTGTGTGTGTGTAACTCAGATTCACATGTTTAAACAGTATGTGCACTGAAGATACCTACTCTGTAAGTGCTGCCTATCTCGAACAGAGAAACTACACAGAGTGTGGCTGAATACTACTTTTCACCTGTTGACAAGAAATGAAACAAAACACTTCATAAGTAGAAAGGAATAGATTTTCGTACCTAAGATACAATATATTTCATGTATGCTTTTATTAGGTGAAAGTTCACTACTCCATATAACAAAACAGTCATTTTTAGTATACATTCCTAAAACAAAGAAAAGTGAACATATAGCTGACGTAAACATTACTAACAACCAGTTTTGACAGTACTAGCCCTTCAGGGGAGCAAAGAAGGGAAGGTGTGGTCTCTACACTGTCAATACAACTGGACTCCTTACACCGTAAAATAATTCCTTATGATTCATGAATTGCATATATTATACTGCCTTTCTTTTTAAGTTATTTTAATTTATTGAATGAAAACCTACAGTTTTAAAATTAGGGAATCATTCTTTGGTCTTATTTACTTGTGATCAAACTATTTCTAATCAAATGGTAAAAGCAACTATAATAAATACCCGAGGAAGCATGTCAAAGCATTCCTCCCTAAGAAGAATACCAAAACTATTGGAGATAATTCTTCCTAATAACCCTTTTAAAGGATAAATGGAATATAATATTTATATAATTATAAATTATAAACCATTATGTGATCAGATTCCAAACATCTTTCCCTTGAAGACAACTTTCTGCAATGAAGACAAAATCTGTTTTATGTCACTTTGAAATCTGCTAGTGGCTGCTGGGTGATGTGCTGGGGACCACACGGAGGTCACAGGCAAACCGTGCTGTAGTGGAGTTTCTGTTTCTGCAGCAGGGGCAGAACAGGAAGGGGTGGTGCATGTGTGTTGAGGATTTGCTGACCGTGTTCTTACATACTCTCCCTAATTTCTAATCATACTGGGTTCAAATATACAACATAAGCAATGATAAAAATTCCTCCATAGTAGATATTTCTCTAACTAAACTTTAATAAAACATGGCATATTATAAAATATTATTAGGTATGACATGTTTAGAGTTATGCCTCTGATAATATATAATGGTAGTGGCTAGCTAGATATTAGAAAAAAATCCACAGGTTTGAATCTTCCTATGAAGATGCTTGGTAATATCAATCAGTACAGTGATTTTTTTCCTTGTAATTTCCTATAGAAAATAGATTATTACTATTGTACTAATTTCCTGAGGCCTGATCATTCTCTGAGAAATGGCAAATTCTTAAGTTGTAAACATGTTATTTTACTTCAGAACCACAGCTTAAAAATAAATTTCATCCTCTGATAGGCTATTTTATAATAAATTCCATGGCCAATTTGTTTCAGAATGTGTTAATACTCTGAAGATTTATGTGTATTATGGTTTACTATTACCCTATTGCTTCTCTTTAATAAATAAGAAACAATATTCATGTGATAACATATATATTAGATTTTTTACTATAGTTCTAGTTAAAAATATTAACTGAATAATATAATGTATTCTATGCTCTAGTTTTTAAAGAGATTCATTCTTAGCTAGCGTACAGGTGATTAACCTGTCACAATATGACAAATAACTACCCACAAATAACCTAATTAAAACCTTACAAGTACAATGATTAAAATTGGAATATTATTATATATAATAACTAAAAGTGTTATCTTTTAAATAGAATGTTATTTCTATCATTAAGTGTTAATCAAATGTCAAAACTTTAGGAATGAATTTAAGACATAAAGGAATTTTCATTTCTATGTCCCTAAGTTCCTATAAAAAAGCTAAGTAAATAATGTACTTGGTAAACAGCTTAAAATATTAAATGGAGGCAATCCAAAAATAATATTGACTTTTTTCTTATCTAACAGTTGGTCTCTGATTAAACTGAAAGACATGGTTAATAGGACGACAAGTTAGAGACTGACAACATACTCTAAAAATGGTAACATTTTGGGCACTATATCATCAAAATAATTTCAAAACAACCATATGTTTCTTAAATAAGACACTATCATTAACTTTTATAAAAGAACTTTCTTGGGGTCCAAAGTCTGGGATTCGGCGCTGTACAGCAGACACATTGGAGACCCGGCCCGTCCGGGGGCCACGGGTAACTGCTCAGGGAGGGCTGCTGCCAGTGGGGGTTTCCTGGGCAGCAGAGAGCAGGCCTTCCTCTCCCAGGACGGTTCACAGTGAGGCTTAAGGACATTATTTTATTTCTTTTAGGAATTATTATTAAAGAGTTATCCAGAATCCAATCCCTAATACAATGAAGTTGATTGAATCACTGAAAAAACTGAGAGATGAAACACGTACATTATCTTTCAGGTCTGTTTTTCTTCATTATATATAGGAAATGCACAATTCTATGTCTTCGGGCCGGAATACAAATAGGGTTGAACTGTGTGCTAACTAATCTATGTAACAAGCATGTACCCATCGTGAATAAAAACTAAATTGCTATGAAAGCAGGATTTCAATGTTGGTCAGAACATTAGCAGATGATGGCACAGGGAAAGTTTCTGCACAGTTTCTCTCAGGTATTTTTTCAGTGCAACATGGTGAAGGGTGGCAATGATAACATTATTACCTGTGAAAAAGTACAAATCATTTCCATAAAAGATAATGGTAACAATGCAAAAATGGATTTTGACAGTTTTCTGTCCGTAACACCAAATCAAAGGCATTTATTGAAATGAGGTGATGTCAATTATTAAATGTTAGTGCATTAAGAAACAGGCAGCTGGTTTTCTAGTGCGTAAGTTGTTCTTTCCTTACTGTATTTTTCAGACCACTTGCGGGTTAGTTCTAGATAATGACTTGGTTTGTGAGGCCAGTAGTCCAGGTACACTGTGTTACTGGTTCTTTTGGGAACAGCTTTTTCAATCTGAGTTCCTTCATGCCACTCATTAAAAGAAGTGATGGAAATTACACTGGGGTGGGCTTGGAGTGCAGCACCCAGGGCCGTTTCGTAATACTTCCCATTGACTCGGTTCCGAGTGTTCTGGGTGTTCCATGGACGGATGCTGGTATCTATGTATCCCGGGCCCACACTTGGGATAAATATTAGTTGGAAGTGATCACAAAATAATTTTAACCTGCCCCAGTTCTCATATGATGAGCCATAAGTAAAGCCATTTGTGGCAAAATATGTGTAAATTCCATTAAAACCACTTTGAAGGATATCATATTTATGTTTGTCTTCTACTAGAAGTGCAATAAACAAGGCATCGTATGGAGAATTGCGAATGCTCCAAGGCCCTGAGACGGTTAACAGATTGGCCCACTGTTCAGGCTTTGTAATATAGGAATCATAAATGTAAAACATAGGAAGAGAATCGCCAGTCTTAGTCTTGTACCTGTAAAAGGCTGGATGATTTCCATACCTAGAATATAAACATAGGTAAAAGTGAATGAATACTAACAATTCATTTACCACAGACAGTAATTATGTACTGAAAATGAAGATAATCATAGTTTATACACACTGTTCACCTTCCCTGGGGAGTCAGTTGTATAAGTGTAATTATTAAAAATGCATTTCAGTTTTATACATCAGGAAATGAGATCATGGATATACTAAGATATTACCAAACAAGAAATCAATGATCTTCTATTGAGGTACAAATGTTGACTAACACCATGAAAAGCCCGCTTCCCACATGACGATGTGAACTGCTTTTTTCCTGTCAGTGGTAAACAGCCCAGCGCTGCTGACAAGTTTCTCTGTGAGAGCATGGCCACTGCCACAGACTGTTATAAGTCACACCCTTGAACAAAATGAAGCTGTATTAATAGATTGTTTGCTTGTAATCAGACTAAATATAAATGAAATACTACATGTGAGCCCATGACTATAAAAGCAGCTCACATTTTATTATCTGAGCCTGCTTTTAAAAAGACAGAACTGTATAATCATAAAATTTTTAAAATAATACAATTTAAAATGTTGGTATAAAGAAAACATAAGTAGCCTAATAAGCAAAGTAAAACAATAAAGACAATCTTTATTCATACAGAAAAGAAACTTTAAGGAACTTCAGAAATGTTTCTCAAAATGATTGCAATATTCATTACAAAATCAGTTTATAGATACAGAAGAAACTCACTTGTCTATAATGTATTTGACATTTTCATACATGTTTTGATCATCTCGATTGCTATATGGTTCGATGTGAAAAGTGACCTAAAACAAAAACATTGATACGTTGTCAGAGAATTTAATAGTAACAATACTAAGAACTTTCTCTATTAAACAATATGCTAAATGTTTTATGCATTTTATGTCAGTTAATTCTGACAATGCCGTCAGGTGGTTACTGGTACTATCCTCACTTTCTAAGGGACACAATCCTAGTTGGGACAAGTGTTGCAACTTGTCACACGCAGCCAGCAGGAGGCAGTGTGGGTCATCTGAGCTCACAGCTCAACATTCAGTCACTGTGAGCCACTTCTTCCTGGATTCCTCATACAGAATAAATATGGATATTTCTATACTCAAACACATCTCTCTCTTTTTTTTGGTCATAAAAATGAAAACATGGTCTAGAAAAATCTGGATTCATTTTTCAGATGTGATCAAGTATACATGGAGTCAATGTCGAATGCCTTTAAATAACAAATTCTTCCATAACTAAAATAGCATTTTACAAAATAATGTATGTTTAATTTGTACTATTAATATCCACTAGTACTATAAAGGGCAATAACTTTCAGAATGCTTGTTATTACTGATATGGTTTATATTTCTCTATTGTAATAGCAGAAAGCAGTAACCAGAAATATTTTTTAAATACTGTGCACGGAAGATTCCATTTTTTTACAACTGAGGTAAAATATAGTGTTTAATAACACTATCAAAATTTCAGGTGTTCAACATTGTAATTCAACATCCATTTTGTGTCCCCCACAGAAAGCCTAGTTTCCAATTTCCCCATTCAGTTGATTCCCTGTACCCACTTCACCCTACCCACCCACCCCACATCCCCTCTGGTAACCATCCACCTGTCGTATCAATGAGTTTTTGTTTTGTTTTTACATTGTTTTATATAGATGAATCATCTCTCTTTCTCTCCTCTTTTAACCATCTCTTTGTCTGTATCAATGAGTTTTGTTTTTACATTGTTTTATATTCCACATGACTGAAATCATATTCTACATCTTTCTCTCCATCTGACTTTTCACTTAGCATCATACTCTGGAGATCCATCCTTGTTGCAAACGGCAATATTTCATCTTTTTATGGCTAAGGAGTATTCCATTGTGTACACGTACCACATCTTTATCCATTCAACTGTCAATGGACACTTGTTTCCATATCTTAGCTACTAAGATACGCTGCAATAAACACAGGGGTGTATATATATATATGTTTATTAGTGTTTTCATATTCTTCAGATGAATACCCAAGAGATAAATTGCTGGATCATTTGGTAATTCTATTCTTCATTTTTTAAGGAACCTTCACACTGTTTGCCATAGTGACTGACAACTTACGTTACCACCTGAGTGGGCAGGGTTCCCATTTCTCCACATCCTCTCCAATGTTTATTTCTTCTCTTTTTAATAAGAGCCATTCTACCTGTGTTAGGTGACATCTCAGTGCAGTCTTGATTTGCATTTCTGTAATAATTAGTAAAGTTGAACATCTTTTCACGTGCCTGTTGCCATCTGTCTGTTTTCCCTGGAAACATGTCTATTCAGGTGTTATGCCCATTTTTTAATCAGATTTTGTTCATGGTGGTGATATGAATTTTTTTAGACATTAATCCCTTATTGGAAATATATGCATGTATCTTCTCCCATTCAGTTGGTTGCCTTAATATTTTCTTGATGGTGTCCTTTGCAGCATAAAATTCTTTTAGTTTGAAGTAGTCCTATTTGTTTTCATTTCCTTTGCCTTTGGAGTCAAATTCATAAAAAGCCTCTAAGACTAATGTCCACTAAGTTTATTACTGATTTTTCTTCTATGTATCTTATTGTTTCGCATCTTATCATTCAAGTTTTTACTCCATTTCAAGGTAAGTTTTGTGTATGATGAAAGACAGTGGTCTAGTTTCGCTATTTTGCACATGGTTGTCCAGTTTTACCAGCACCACTTTTAGAAAAGACTTCAACCATTGTATGTTCTTGGCTCCTTTGTAGCAGATTGGCTGTCCTTATACGTGTGTGTTCGTAGCTGGGCTCTCAACTCTTTCCCATTGGTCTGTAGGTCTGTTTTGTTTCTGCCAATACCATACTGTTTAAGTTACTATAGCTTGGTAGTATAGTTTGAACAATGGAGCATGTGATACCTCCAAGTTTGTCCTTCTTTCCGAGGACCGCTTTGGCTATTCAGGGTCTTTGTGGTTCCATAACATTTTAAGATATTTTGTTCTATTTCTGTGAAAAATGCCATTGGGATTTTGATGGGGAGTGCATTCAATCTGTAGATTGCTTTAGGTAATATGAACATTTTAACAATGTTAATTCTTCCTATCCATGAACAGAGTATCTTTCCATTTTTGTGGGCTTCTCCAATTTCTCTCAACAATGGTTTGCAGTTTTCATTCAGTATGCAGGTCTTTCACCTCCTGTGTTTAGTTTATTGCTAGGTAGTTTATTTTTTTATTGCAATTTTTATACTCATGTTATCTTGAATAATTCTTATTAGATGCAAATTATTTTTCAAGTTTGTTTCCATTTTACATAAAAATGACACCATATCTAAGCAAATGTGTCAAAACAAGTTTGTTTTTAATGTTGCAAACTATAAATGGCATCCTTCTTTTGTAAAATGCAGCTCAATATAAGCACAGTAATTTAAAAAGCTGAGAACAGTGCAAAACACACATATATTTCAAAATTCTTAATTGTAGTAAAATTACTTATAGATTTAAGTAATGATGTGATCTAGTCACTATTTCTCTTTCATTTGCCAAAATATATTAGACCAATACTAAAATAATTTTTAATGATGACAGAGTATTATTGTTGAGAGCTGAAGAACATGAGGGTTAAGGGTGCTGACTCCCTGGTGCTTTAAAAAATCTATGCATCTTTTGACTTCCCCAAAACTTAGCTGTCCTTCAAGGCCCAATGGGGGACTGGTTCCAAGACACCCCACAGACATCAGATTTGTAGATGTTCAAGTCCTCTACATAAAATGACAGAGATCAATGCATACAGCTGGCCCTCTGCATCTGTGGATTCACAGCTGCGGACACAAAATGGTACAGATGTTCATTCAAAAACAGCTGTGTGAAAGTGGATCCATGTAGTTGAAAGGTTCTTCAAGAGTCAACTGTACATATAAAATCAGATGTCTGCCTTATCTCTAGGTCAAGGAATAAGATTCATATAAATATTCCCTTATTTCTTGCTTCTACTTTTGGCCTTGCCAGTCTCTATTCTGCAGCAAAAGTGCACTTTCTAATGGGGAGGGGATCCTGAAGAGTGACTTCAACAACATGGAAGTATAAAACTTTCCTGATATTTATCCCCCTTTTTAATCGAAGGATGGGACATTCACACAGGAATAAAAGCTCTAAACTAGTACCTGACTCCAGGAAAGCGGGGAGGAGTCCTGCCCACCAGTGCAGCCTGAAAGGGACAGACAGATCTCTAGATGGGCTGGGAAAACAGGGGGACAGAAAAACTGCCTGGTCACCTCTTGTCACTGCTGGGCAGAAACTGGGTGAGTACGGACATGGACAGGAACTCACGTATTAGAGAGAAAACTTGCAGAAGTCAAGCCTTCCCAAAGGGGGACTCCAGCACATCACTAGAGTGGGGAAAGGAAAGAAAAACACGAGTCTGGGCCCAGTGGAGGCTGTCAGGGAAACCCTCCCAGCACCACACCTCTGCCCAAGAAAACACTGAAACGGGCTGCTTTACGTGATAAAGGTGACCTATCCCACGGGGAAAAGGAAGGCAGAGAAGAAGAAAGGAATGAAGACCTTACAGAACAGTCGGAAGCAAACGAAATGGCAATAAATAGATACCTAGAAACAACTACTTGTCATGTAAATGGAAAAACTTCTCCCATCAAAAGACAGGTTAAATTGGTTTAAAAAAAGAGGCCAATTTACATTCAGATATAAAAACAGTAACAATACAAAAGTGAAGGAATGACAAAATATATTTTACACGTGTGAAACCAGAACGAACTGGGGCAGCTATAATTATTTCATACAAAAGTAAACTTTTAAAACAAAGATTGTAGTAAGAGGCAAAAAAAGAGAGTTGCATAATGAAAAAGTGGTCAATTCAATATGAGGATATAACATTTGTAAATATTTACAACATAAGAACACCTACTATAAAGTAAATGTTAACAGGCCACGGGGATCAAACAGACAGTAGTACAATAATAGTGTCAGACATTAATACCTTATTTGCATCACTGGATAAATTATCCAGACAGAAAATCAATAAGGACACAACAGCCTGAACCAACATTAGGTCACGCAGGCATAACAGATATATGCAGAAGGTTCCATCCAATCACAAGAGAATACATATTATTCCCACGTGAACATGGAACATTCTCCAGGATAGATCATATGTTAGGTGGTCACAATAAAACTCTTAATTAACTTTAAAAGATTGAAATCAAAGCAAATATAAAATTTTAGATCACATGGTATAAAAGTAGAAATCAATCGCGAGATAAAGATGGAAAAATTCGCAAATATGTGAAAATTGAAAACATGCTACTGAACAATCGCTCCAAAAAGGTTGATGACAGAAAAATCAAAAGTACCTTGAAAAGAAATGAAAAGGAAAATATAACATACAAAAACTTAAGGGTGCAGCAAAAAAAAAAGTTCTAAGACATACTAAGAGTTGACAGTGATAAACATATACCTCAAGAAATAAATAAAGTTGCAAATAAACAACCTAACTATACCCCAAAGAACCAGAAGAATGAATGAAGCTCATAATAACTAGAGGGAAGGAAAAGACAAAAATCAAAGCAGAAAATAAAGAAATAGAGATACAAAGCAATAGGAAAGACCAAAGGTTTCTTGAAAATACTGACAAACCTTTAGCTAGAAATAGAAAGATGGTTCCTATAAGTAAACTCAAAAATGAAAGAAATATTACAACCGAACTACAGAAATACAAAGGATCAAAAGAAATTACTATTAACATTTATACTTTAGCAAATTGCACCAAAGTGGAAAAAATGGATATATTCCTAGACACAAACAATCTTCCAAGATTGAATCATGAAAAAAACCCAGAAAATCTGAGCACACTGATTACTAGGTAAGGAGATTGAGTCAGTAATCAAAAACTTCAATAAAGAAAAGTCTAAGACCTGACAGATTCACTGGGGAAACAACTGTACTGAACAACAATTAAAGAACAACACTTTTTATCTAATTTTTCTTTTGAAATATTGCATATTTTTCATCAGTGAGATCAGCCTGTATATTTCTTTTTTGTGCTATGGTTTAGTTTTTGAATCGGAACTGTGCTATCACTATAGAATCGATCTGCAAGCTCTGTAGTAGCCAGTATTCAAAATGACCACCAGTGATCCCCGTTTTCAGATATTCCTGACACGTGCAGTTGATGCCTGCACTGTGCTGGCATTGCTTTATCAGTGGATAAACCAATACAGTAGAATGGAAGTGGTATTAATTTTAAGATTAGCTCAAAAAAAGACTCCAATGTCCATATTAGACTCTCTCTCTCTGATCGTTCACTTTGAAGAATCCAGCTCCCATATCATAAGAAGGCACAGGTAGCCCTACAGAGAGGCTTATGTGGTAAAGAACTAAAACTACCATTTCAATAATTCAAAGAAACCAAGGCCTATCAACCACCACATGAGAAAGTTGGATGACTGTAGCACCTGCCAACAGCTTGACTATAATCTCATGAAAGATCCTGAGCTACACCTACCTGTCTAAGCCACTTCCAGATTCCTGACTTTTAGAAATTGTATATGAGAGCCCTGGCTGGTGTGGCTCAGTGAATTCAGCACTGGCCAGGAACCAAAGGGTTCCCTGTTTGATTCCTACTCAGGGTACATGCCTGGGTTGTAAGCCAGGTCCCCAGGTCCCCAGTAGTGGGTATGTGAGAGGCAGCCACACATTAATGTTTCTCTTCCTCTCATTCTCCCTCCCTTCCCCTTTGTCTAAAAATATACAAATAATATCTTTAAAAAAAGAAATTGTATATGGTAAGTGTGTGTTGTTTTAAACTGCCAAGTTTGGGGGTATTTTGCAAGGTAGCAATAGAAAACAAGTAAAGTTTCCCACATGATTAATAGTTCAAAATAACTGTAATAAGGATGCTCACCAAGGTCAGGAGAACAACTCATGAACATAATGAGAATTTCAACAAACAGAAAATAAAAGAAAGTACTAAACACAAATGATGGAACTGAAGAATAAAATAACTGTACTAAAATATACAATAGAGAAAGAATCTGGTAACAACTTGAAAAAACAGGAGAAAGAACCAATGAACTCAAAGACAGGGCAGTGGTACTCATCCAGTCAGAGCAGCACGAAGTTAAAACAAGGAATAAAGAAGAGAGAAGGCAAGTAAAGGACTTGTGGGACAACACCGAAAAGGCCCAATATTTGCATTATAAGGGCCCCTGGGTAAAAGGGGCAGAAAACTTTTCTGAAAAATTCCCTAATATGGGAAGGGAACAGGCATCCGGATCCAGAAAACCCAGAGTTCCAAATAAAATTTACTGAAAGAAACCCACAGCAAGGTAAGTTATAATAGTCAGACGTTAAACAACAGAATCTTCAAAGAAGCAAGAGAAAAAAACAGTATGTTATAAACAAAGGAACCCCTATTATATCAACAGAAGTGGCAAGATATATATAAAGCACTTTCAAAAGAAAACTTTCAACCTAGAATACTCTGCCCAGCAAAGTTATTCTTCAGAACTAAATGTGAAATAATGATTTTTCCATAAAAGTAAAAGCTAGACAATTAATATAAGTGCTAAAGGGACTACCTTAGCTTAAACAAAAGGGTGCTAATTTGTAATAGGAAAACATAAAAGTATAAATCTCACTGGTACAAGTAAATATACAGGGTCCACCCAAATAATGCCCATTTTTCTTACAAAATCTTTTATTACAAAATCATAAGCATGTAATTCTGTAACATAACAATAGCACACTTAAACACACCACATGACATTTTAGGTGAAATGTTCAAATTAAAACTATAAATTGTTACACTCATATTATTACCCTGCCAACCACACTCAGGCAGGTGCTAATTCTGCCAGATGCTGTATATTAAAATTCAGAAAAATCTAATGATATGAAGGTGATGATTTAATCACTTATAAAGCTACAATTAAAGGGCAACTAGTAAAAGTAATTACAATAATTTGTTGAAAATACGGTAAAAAGATGTACATGAGGGCATAAAATGTACAACTTTAGAATCCATTCAAATTTAATTTGTTATCAACAAAAGACACTTTTAAAAATATAAGTTGTTTTACGGAAGCCTCAAGATAACCAAAAAGTAAAAACCTATAGTAGATACACAAAAAAATCCAGAGGAAGGAATATAAGCCTACCACTATAGAAAAATCACCAAATCATAAGGGAAGAGAGAAAAAAAAGAACAAAGAAATTACAAAAAGCTATAGAACAATTAAATCAGCAAAACTTCATACCTATCAATAACAACTCTAAGTAAAAATAGGCTAAATTCTGCTCCCTCTAAGAAAATAAAATGTCTGAATGAATTAAAAAATAAAAGACCCATCTATGTGTTAACTACAAAAGTCTTACTTTTTAATTTTTTTTTTAATATTTTATTTATTTATTTTTAGAGAAAGGGGAAAGGAGAGAGGAGGAGAAGGAGAAGGAGAAACATCAATATGTGGTTGCCTCTCATGTGTCCCCTACTGGGGACCTGGCCTGCAACCCAGGCATGTGCCCTGACTGGGAATTGAACCAGCAACCCTTTGCGTCACAGGCCCATGCTCAACCCACTGAGCTACTCCAGCCAGGGTATCACTTTAGATTAAGTGAAGGTCTCACTTTTAGATCCTTAATCAAAAGTCTCACTTTAGATTAAGGACACACACAGTCTAAAAATGAGATGATACAAAAAATGATATTGCATGCAAATGGAAATCAAAAGAAAGCGTAAGCTGTATTCATATCAGATAAAATAAACATTAAGAAAAGTCTGTAATCAGAGACAAAGAAGGTCAATATATAAAGGTGTAAATACAGTAAGAGAATTAACACTGCTAAATATTTATCCAACCAATATAGGGACATCTAAATATAGAAAGCAAACAGTAACAAACTTAAAAGGTAAACTAGGCAGACCATAATTGTAGGAGACTTTAATCCCCCACCTTCATTGATTGATGAAACTGATCTTAAATGACACATTATACTAGATGCAATTAACAGACATATACAGAACATTCTATCCAAAAGAATCAAAATACACATTCTCCTCAAGTACACACGGAACATACTCCAGGACACAAACAAGTCCCCAAAATTTTAAGAAGAGTGAAATCGTGTTCAGTATTTTTTGGATCACAATGGCATAAAACTAGCCATCAGCTACAGGAAGGAGACGGGAAAACTCGCAAGTACTAGTATGTGGAGGTTAAACAACATCCTATTGTACAACCTACTGGTAGTACAATTTCTCTGGTTAGAGAAATAACCAAAAGATAAATTAAAAAATATTTTGAGAAAAAGAAAATAAAATGGGACTACAACAACCTAAAAAGCTTCTGCACAGCAAAGGAAACCATCAACAAGATGAAAGGCAACCTACCAAATGGGAGAACATATTTGCAAATCGTACAATATATCTAGTAAAGGGGTTACTATCCAAAATATATACAGAACCTGAGGTGGGGGTGGAGTAAAATGTGTAAAGATGGTGAAAGGTACAAACTTCAGCCATAAAATTAGTAAGTCCTGGGATGTAAAGTACAACATGGTGACTATTAGTTAATACTACTACACTGCAGAGTTGCTAAGAGAACAGATTTTATAAATTCTCATCAGGAGACAAAAAAATTATTATTCTGTATGTTGATGGATATTAACTAGACTTAGTGTGATGCTTGTTTCACTATATATATAATTATATTGAACACCTGAAACTAATATGACATACAATTATATCTCAATAAAAAGTAAAATATATAAAATAAAATACCTTTAGATTATATTTATGAGCTTTATCCAAAATAGTTGGTACCAAGTCATCAGTAGGTACTCCATCCTCATCGTGTGACCCGGGTGGGTACCAAGATAGAGCTAGTACACCTAACAGAAAAGACCAAAAACAAAACAAAAAAAGAGATGAATACAGAAATGGGAATGACTACAAGTATTCTTTTTTTGACAAAGGTACAGGAAGGAACAGAATAAGAATTAAACATTTAATAACAAAGAAAAATCTTCACTTAACACTGTTGTTACATTAGTTAGATACTACCTATGGTTGTTAGATATTCTATATAGCCAATTTTATGAACTCTTTAACAGGCATCAATAACTTTTAATTAATAGATTTTACTTCCTAGAACAAATTTTAGAAAAACGGTATAGAAAGGACAGAGTTCCCGTCTACTCTCCTTCTACACAATCCCTCTCCATCCCACACAGTTTCTATTGTTAACATCTTGCATTAGAGTGATACATTTGTTACACATAGAGGGACGGCCCAGCACAGCCCACAGAGAATTAGAAAGAAGATTGGTTAGTTTGAAAAAAAGCTGCCCTGGCTAGTGTGGCTCAGTGGATTGAGTGCCAGCCTGAGAAGCAAGGGGTTGCTGGTTCAATTCCTGGTCAGGGCACATGCCTGGTTTGTGGGCCAGGTCCCCAGTAGGGGGCAGGTGAGAGGCAACCACACACTGATGTTTTTCTCCCTCTTCTTCTCCTTCCCTCTAAAAATGAATAAACAAAATCTTAAAAAAAAAAAAAAAGAAAAAGAAAGAAAGCTCACCCCTTCCCAAGCCCAAGGTAACATAGTCAAAGCTTAACAAAGGCTCGGGGCTTGTTCATTTGCCTGTTCTCTATTCTTGCAGCAACCACTTGAGCTAAAGTGTGGGGCAGACCAGGCCAGAGTACAGCTGGGAGCAGAGACTACGCTGGACCACTGGGGCCCTGGGTGATGTGATGGCATTACAGTTCTGGATCCTGACCCCCCTGGTGAGTGCTCACCAGGCCCTGCACTTCTGCAGCAAGATGGAGCTGAGCCACCTGGTTTTGGTGTCCCAACCAAGAGGCATTGGCACCTGGAGGCAGTCTTTTAATTCTGTTCCAATAAATCTTGCTTCTATTGCTCATATCCTCGTATAAGCGAATCCCAAAATGCTTTGCTTGTGACTCTATGGAAGAATCCTATTTCCACTGGCAACACTATGGCATCTTATCAATGTTATAATGAAAAGACACCAGACAGAACAAAACACATTATCGAGGACCTGCCGTATAATGCTAATGACTCTGTCACTCATGAGGTCTACAAAAAGAACATCCTAGGAACTAAGCCAACGGTGGTTCTAACCTGAAAATGGCTGGACCATTTACAATGGTAATGAATCCTGCACAGTAACCAGAAAGATCCCTCTAAAACGCATCAACCAAGTATCACTGGTAAATAAGACCTATTACTCTGTATTTCTACCATTCCCATTCTACATGAAAAGTGATACTCTTTGAAATCCATTCTTAGAGTATTAGTATATTAAATGCACAGCATGTCATATTGACTGTGTCATTCTTGCACAGAACTTATAATGGGACCTTCAATATAACTGATATTCAATTTTTCCCTATTAAGTTAAATAATTCATTGAAACAGGATAATAGTTAAGAAAGCAAGATATGAAATTAGATGGGCCCGGAGAATCAAGTCCCAATTATGTCACTTGACAGGGGTTCACCTTTATATATATCATTTTACTTAAGTTTTTATATGTGTAAAATGGGAATAAATTCAGTTCATAACATAAAAGTATGTTTTAAAGAAGTATAAATGAAAGAATGCATCACACAGTGTAAGATCTCCCCAAGAATAATTACATAAAACCATTAACAAGAAGACAGTAAAATAGGAAATGAATTTGGATATCTTTAACTCCACAGAGCTTGTGAAAACTTGTGTTTCATACAGGGAACTTAGTACTTCTTTAAAGTATCTCAAACATTCTTCCAAACTAAAGATTTATCAGAGAGAAAGGCAAGACCATTTCTAGACATAAACACTATTATCATGATACAGAATGACATGAAAAATTACAAGGCACATAAAAAACAAGAAAAACCACCACTCACTGCCAAAAGAAAGCCATCAATAGAACCAGGTGCAGGCATGAAACAAATGTTCAAGTCATTAAACAGGGAGCGTAAAATCACTATGATTACAATGACAAAGGGTCTAATAGGAAAGATAGCCAATATGTAAAACCAGGTGAAAAACTGCAGAGATAAAAGCTATAAGAATCAAATAGAAATGCTGGAAATGAAAAACACATATAAGAGATGAAGAATGCCTTCAACAGACTCATGAACTGACTCAACAGAGGTGAGGAGTCAGGTAACTTCTGGCAAGTCATATGGGAAGTTACCAAAATGAAATATAATGAGGAAAAAGATTAGGATAAAAACCCACCCCCCCACACAAAGCAACACAGCCGATATCTCTTGCATCACAGTTGTAACACACTTATCATTAGAAACTCAGATGCAGAAGGTATCGTTGAAGAAATAATTACTAAGAACTTTGAAAAGCTGAAGACAGACACGAGCAACAAATCTAAGAAAATATTACGAAGGATAAATACAAAAAAACACAATGTATTTAAACTACTAAAAATAAAAAATCTTTTAGTCAAAGACAAATGCATACAAAAATTAACACATAAAAGGATTTTAAAAAAACGACAGAATACTTCTCCTCAAAACCATGAAAGGTGGAATAAAATGGAGTAACATTTTTAAAATTCCCAAACAATCCCCCCGAACCTGCTCACTGACAATTCTGCAGTAGACGTACCATTCAAAGTATGCAATACAAACACAGCACCTGAAAGGACTCACTGCAAGTGGACCTGCACTACAGGAATATTAAAGGGAAATTCTGAGGCTGAACAAGATTGAGGTCAGACGTACTGAGATCTTCTATGAAAAGGGGAACATGGGAAATGAAGTAAGTGAAGGCAAAATTAGTTTGTTTTTGTTTTTTTTTTACTTTTAATTGCTTTAATAGATAAATATTTAAAGCTGTAGTCAGCAAACTATGGTTCACAAGCCAGATCTTTCCCTCAGCTGACAAGTCTTCTATACCTTTGTTTGCATACTGCTTATAATGGCCTTCACACGGCAATGCCAGAGTTAAGTGGTGGTAAAGAGCACATGTGGCCTCTAAAAACAAAATTACAGTCATACCTCAGTACTCATAGACTTCAGACCTCATCAAACCCTGTGCTCATTGCATTTTGATGAGAAAAAAATGTTTCAGCCCTCAGTGTTTGCTTGGGACTCACCATACTTGCTAGAACTTGTATCAGTCATGACGCTGCCCCGTAAGAGAAAGTGCTTCATCATTCATTGTTTGTTCTCCACTCAATGATTTCAGCACTCCTCAATGAGTTCCAGAAGGAATTAACAAGTACCAAGATATTTACTAGCTGATCCTTTACAGAAAATGTTTGCCAATCTCCAGTCTACAGCAACAATAGTACTTCTCTAATACAAGAATTAGGATAACAATAGCAAAAAGTATGGCAGGGAGAAATTGGGAATATATTGTGGTGAGATCCTCATACTACATACGTAGTTTGACTGGCTTTAGAACAATTTAAGGGTTAGGAGGCACCTATCCCTATGCAGTCAAAAATTTGAGTATAACTTCTGACTCCCCCAAAACTTACCTACAGTCATCCCCTGGTACCCAGAGTTATACCAGAAGACTTCGACATTGCTTTATCAGTAACTGATTAAAAAAGTACTGTAGAAAACTGGCAACAATAGAGAACCACTGAACAATGCTATAAAGAACTTGAACTGACATTTATAAGGTTTATGTCTGACAGGATCAGAATGCACACTGGTTCTTCTTCCAGAGAATCAATGAAACCAAATGTTGGTTCACTGAAAGGATGAATATTAGTGAACCACCGGAAATATAGCCGAGAGAGAGAGAGAGAGAGAGAGAGAGAGAAAACAAACATTATCAAAAGCAGGAATGAAAGAGACAGTATCTATACAAACTCATATACTTTAAAATCGTAATGAAGAAATAATACAAACAACTCTTTAAGTCAGTAATCAAAAATTTCCTGACAAATAAAAACCCTGAACCCAATGGCTTTACAAGTAAATTCTACCAAATACTTAAAGAAGAACTGAACCAAAATTTCTCAAGTTGTTCTAAAAATCTTGAAGGGGAGGGAATACTTCCTAACTCTCTGTATGAGTTACCATTCCCTTAATGCCCAAGTCAAAAAAAGAAACCACTATAAAACACAGACCACTCTCTTTATGAACACTGATACTAAAATTCCCAACAAAATATTATCAAATCAAATTCAGCAGCACATTAAAAAATTATACACCACAACTACACAGGGTTTATTCCCAGAATGTAATAAGCATGGTGCAACATCTGGAACTCTATTAATGTCATACATCACATTAACAGAATGAAGGGAAAAAATCATCTCAATGGATGCAGAAAAAGCCTTATAAAATTCAACACTCCTTCATGATTAAAAAACAAAAAAACTAGGACTAAAAAGAAAATACAACATAAGTGATATATAAAAAATCCGCAGAGAACAGCACACTCAACAGTAAAAAGACTGAAAGCCTTTCCCCTCAGATCAAGAAGGTTTCAGAATGCTTGCTTTCACCACTTCCATTTAAACATGGTATTGGGATGATAGCCAGAGCAATCAGGGAAAAAAGTAAATAGATAGATAGATAGATAGATAGATAGATAGATAGATAGATAGATAGATAGATAAATCCAAATAGGAAAGGAAGGCATAAAAGGATTTATTTGCAAATGACATTACCTTATATGTAGGAAACTTAGGACTCCATTTAAAAATGCTAAAAGTAATAAGTACCAGTAAATTCGGCAAAGGACAGGACACGAAGTCAACAAAAATCAGCTGCATTTCTATACACTAACAATGAATGAATTGAAAAGAAAAATATAATTCCAATACAGTAAAATTTCAGAAAATAAATTACTTGGTAATTAAATTAACCAAGGAGATGAAACACTTGTACAATGAGAACTACAAACAAGG